TTTGTGTGTAGGTATTGTTGAAATTTGTTTTTGTCATTGAATATCTTGTTTTCTCCGTCTATGAGGACTGAGAGTTTTGCAGGGTATAGTAGCCTGGGTTGACATCTGTGTTCTCTTAGGGTCTGCATGATATCTGTCCAGGCCCTTCTGGCTTTCATAGTTTCTGTTGAAAAGTCAGGTGTGATTCTAATGGGTTTGCCATTATATGTTACTTGGCCTTTTTCCCTTGCAGCTTTTAGTATTTTTCTTTGTTCTGTATACTTACTATTTTGATTATTATGTGGCGGGAGGATTTTCTTTTCTGGTCAAATTTGTTGGGTGTTCTGTAGGCCTCATGTATCCTTATTGGCTTCTCCTTTAACTTGGGAAAATTTTCTTCAATGATTTTGTTGAAAATATTTTCTGGGCCTTGGAGAAGGGAGTCTTCTTTTTCCTCTATTCCTATTATTCTTAGGTTTTGTCTTTTCATATTGTCTTGGATTTCTTGGACGGTCTGTGTCAGGAATTTTTTGGATTTAACATTTTCTTTGACAGATACATCGATTTCTTCCATTGTATCTTCTACACCTGAGATTCTTTCTTCCATTTCTTGTATTCTGTTGATTATGCTTACCTCTGTAGTTCCTGTTTTCTTCCCTAAATTTTTCCTCTCCATTATTTCCTCCATTTGTATTTTCTTTAATTTTTCTAGTTCTATCTTCAGGTCTTGGGTTGTTTTGTTTACTTCCTTCACCTGTCTGCTTGTATTTTCCTCTTTTTCTTTTAGTTCCTTCAACTCTGTCTCTTTGATTTCTTTCAGTGATTTAATTATTTCTTCTCTGAAGGCCACAAGCTGTTTGGCTGCATCTTCCCGTATTTCTTCACGGATGGCCCTAATTTGCTTGTCTTTATCTTCCTCCATTTCTTTACGGATAGCCGTGATCTGTTTGGTTTTATCTTCCTCTAATTCTTTACGTATTTTATCTGTTTCCTCTATTATTCTCTTCATCAACATAGATGTAAGGTCATATTCTTGATTTTCTATTATGCTGCATTGTTCAGGGCTGTTCTCCCCTGGATGGCTGGGTTCTGGAGATGCCATATTGCTCTGTCTTTTGTTGGTTGAGCCTTTACGCTGACCTCTACCCATTGGGCTGATTTAGGTTTTGGCTGTTAGTTTCTGTGCTTCCTGGAGTCCTGAGGTAGGGAGTATCCCCTTGGCCGGAAGATGATTTTTCCTGAAGGAGTCCTTCTCTGCTTTTTGGTTATGGTCACTGTATGGCCAGTGTTTCTCCGGAGTTGCCACTGCTCACCTCAGGTTTACAGCCCTGAGTAGTAGCTGTGGTCTATGTTAGGCAGTGGGGGATCTCCTCTTACCTATAAAATTTCTCAAGACAGCTGCCCCACTGCTGGGTTTCTTGTTATAAATTTAGTGTGCTGCTGCTCACTAAATTTCCATGTACAGTCCTCTTGAAGAACCTGCTGATTCCCTAGCTGTGGGGTTTTCTCCCAACAGGGAAACTCAGTCTGTTATCCTGGGGCGCACAGTTCTGTCTGAGAAAGTGGGAGGTGCACTCAGCAAGTCTCTGGGCCAAAGGCTGATTGCTCTGCTCTGGACCTGGAGAATGTGCACCTAGGTTGATTTGGCGCCTGGGGGCACTGCTCTGGTCTGGAGGCTGGGTGCCTCACTCTGGACCAGAAGCTGTGTGTCTCTGTCTGGGATGGCAGCTGTAGGCACCGATCTGGTCCAGACGCTGTGGGTGCAGCCCTCTTGAAGGAACAGGGATTCCCACAGTTTTGACAGTCCAGCCAGGGACAACTGGCCGATCCCTGGCACAGTATCTGAGGGCTGCTGTAATGGCTCTTCGGCTCCTGCAGGTCCGAGGATGCAGCTGTGTGTCCCAGTGCCCCAGGGGAACGCAACAATGGCGGCAGAGCACAGCGCTTCTGCCTGCACTAGAATCTGCGTGAGTCCAGGAAGTGTTTTGGTGCTGGGTGTCCTAAGCGTTAGAGCTGCTGACCCCCTCCGCTGGGGGTTTCCTTCTGCCAGAGACACGCAGTCTGGTGCCCTGGTGCCCTGGTGCCCACAGTTCTATCTGAGGCAGCGAATCACGCGCGCAGGCAGGGCTCTGTGCAGGCGCCTTTGTCCCTCCCGGCTCTGGGTCCGGGCTGGCTCCTGGGGCACCCGCGGAACCCGAGTCTTTTCCAGGGGATGTCTGGGTAACCTGGGGTCGGTCCCAATTGTTTCCTGCTCCGTGGGGTTATCTCTCGACTGGGAAATCCAGTCTATGGTGTTGTGGGCCCACAGTTCAGTCTGGGACCGTGACCAGATCGCGCTGGCGGGTAGCTCTGGGCTGGCGACCAAGCGCCTGGCGGAACCAGGATCTCTTCCGCGGTTTAGCCGGGTGAGTTAAAGCTGATTGAATCCCCCACCGTGGGGTATCCTCTCACCTGTGAAACACAATCACTTGTGTTTTATGGCCACGAGTTCTGATTGCTGGTCACTGTGCCAATCCTGCTGTGCTGTTCCTCAGAATGAGAGTCCTCCCGGCGCCGCCATCTTGCCCCGCCACTTAAATATTTTTTAAAACCTGTTTTTGTAATATTAAAAGAAATCATTTTCTTTAGGAGTGAATTTATAGAGCATAACCACGATTTTAAACGTTAGAACTAAATTTAAAACTCAGAATTTATCAGTGCACACAATTTAATCTTTGAAACTAGAAGTGGCTCCATCCTTCTGGCCCCTGTCTAAGAGCCGACACTGACTGAAGCCCGTGGGAGGAGGGATGAGAGGAGAAAAGGGGCAAGGTGAACTGCCACTCAGCTCAGCAGCCGATTTTGAGGGTGTGAGTGTTCCCATCCACCCTAGTTCTGTGCAAGCCATCTAAGCCATCCAAGCCTAGCCCGCTGTAGGGGAGGGGGAAGAAGTGCAGTGTCCCCATTCCTCCTGATCACCGAGCTATGAGCTATGGCCCCGCTCAGAGCTTTCTACCCCAGCCAGCCTAGAGGTCTTTTTTTGTTGTTGTTTGGGTTAGAGGGAGGCAGGCGCAGGAGGCCGGTCTGAATTATGAGACTTGGCAGTTTCTTCCTCTGACTGTTTTATACTCATTATCTAGAGCTTGCCTCCTAAACCATTTTTTTTTTGCTTTTAAATTACACAAATCTGTTTTAGCTCTTTTATGAACATTTGAAATAACCTTAGAAATACTTTTTTTTTCCTGCCTATTTGGCTGCTCTAATCTTTCAAGAACTCTTTAGCTTGTGATTTTCCTTTTTGTTTACCCTTACTCCTTGTGTATTGAAGGACTCGTTGAGACCCTGTAAGAATAAGTCATGCTTATTCAATTCTTGTCCCATAATTTGTCGTTCTGACTTACCTCTCCGGATCAGACTCACAGACGGGTGGCTCTGTGGAGATCTCTTATGCAGGATCTTCACTCACTTCCCTTTTAGAAGCAGCAATCCTATGAAATTGTGTGGGCCCACAAAGAACGACCTTCAGTTGAATACCCGTGCCTCAGGTTCACGTTGGGCGCCAAGTATGTCCCATCCAGTGGGAGTTCAATGGGTTCCTAAGGAGGGGCAAAAAGAATGAAGTGGCGACAAGAGACAGAAAGAATGAGAGCAAGTCTATAGTCTGATCTCGCTCTCATTTATTTGAAAAATTTCACACAACTTTATAGGGAGAAGGCAGGAAGGGAAAATGTGTCAGCAATATAGTTTACAAAACATAACATGGTGATTAATGATGATGCAGAACACCGCAAGAATGTTTACTAAAAGAGATACTACAAGAATGCCAGCTAAGATATCTCAAAATGTCTAGCCTGACACACAGATGTCTCATAGGTTCTGGAAACGTAAATCTCTCACCTACTGCCTTCTTGCAGCTGTCTGTAACTTTCCACTAGCTGGCCTTGGCTCCCGGCAAACATATCTGAGAGCAACAAGTAAAAAAAGAAAAGATTTATTTTGGCTCAGTTTCTGAAGTTTCACACCTTTGTCACTGTTTCTGGTCCAAGGGCAGAAGGGTGAGGTGGGACAGACATCAGCATTCCGGAATCAGATACACAAGGGGTTCAAGACTCAGTACCGTTTACCAGGACACAGCTGCAGTGGTCTGATCCCTCCAAGCAGCTCTCACCTGCTTTCAGAGGGATCTGTAAAATGCCATCCCTGTGAATGTATTTAAGGATTAACCCTTTGATGATGTCAGAGCTCTCAGGATCCAACAATCATTTCCCAGAAGCCCCAAGTTCCCAACATGTGAACCTTTTGGACACACCTCAGATTCAAACTGTAACAGTCACTGCGAGGGCTGGCATGTGGCTCAGTTTCTAGAGCACTAGCCTTGCACACTCAGGGCCCTGGGGTAGGGACAGGAGGACCCAATGTGCAGTGTTCTCCTCAGCTACATAGTGAGACTGAGGCCAGCCTTGTCTAGTTGAGACTCTTTTTTAAAGTTAAAAAGTAGAAAAGTACAGATTCACTTATGCTTTGCATTAATGTAACTATTATAAAATGATTTTGAAAAATCCATTTGTTTTTGACTTTGAGTTTTATTAATGTGAGTAAATTCCAATCTCTTTGAATGTTTCGTATTGTTACTTTTTCTTTTGCTTGAAGGGCTTTCCCCTTTCCTGTAAAGCTGAGACCACATATATATATAGGTATGAACTATATCCAAGGACTTATCTATAACCACGTGTGTAGATTTTCACTGAAGTGTTTCTGAACTGGTGGTTTCTGTAAGCGATGCAATTTTGTTTTTTAAGACACCGAGTCTTACCCTAAGGACTTAGAACTTGTAGATCAATCTGGCCTTGAAATTGCAGCAACATTCTCCTGTCTCAGCCTCCCAAGTGATACATTACAGGTGTGCTTTACCATCCCTCCTTTAAGGAAGGTTTGTATCTTTTTCCCCCTGAAATTCAGGCATAGTTAATCATGTGTCGGTGACTCCATGAGTATGTGTGTGTGTGTGTGTGTGTGTGTGTGTGTGTGTATGCACATGTGTGCATGTGCAAGTATATGATCCTTTTCACACATGTGCAGGCCAGAAGAAGGCATCAAGTGGCCTCTTTCATCACTCTCTACCTCCCTTTTGAGGCAGGATCTTTTTCTGAATCTAGAGCCCAAGGTTTTTGACTAGGTAAGAAGCTAGTAAGCTCCATCCAGTTTTCTCATGGAGCTAAGGTTGCGGCCATGAAGTGGGTGCTCAGCTTGTTACATATGCACTTGGATCTGAGCTTCTCTACTCATGATTTGGCAGCAAATGCTTTTAGCCATCAAGGCATCTCTCCATCCTCTCAAATTCAGCCATGTTTACATTAGTAGAAACCTCTTTTTTTCCTGTGTACATAGTGACACACCCCAAACCAAACTTTTTTGTTTTTGCAGTTGTATGTGTTTGTTGTGTGTGTCTGTGTATATGTTTGTGTGTGTGTGTGGTGTGACTCAGCATCTCTTTGTGTAAGCCAGGCTGCCCTTGAACGCTTGAAATTTTTACCTCAGATTCCTGACTTCTGTGCACTATCATGTCTAGTACAGAAACTTGGTGTTTGGACAATGTGTCAAACTCTTTTTGTTTTCCAACTTGTAGGGGTGCAAGGTAAGCTTCAGTTAAATTTGATTCCAGGCACTGGAGAGATGGCTGAGAGGTTAAGAGCACTGGCTTTGCTTGTAGACGGTATGTATTTGATTCTCAGCATCCATATCAAGGCTCACAAGCATCTTAAACTGCATTTCCAGCAATGGGACTCCCTCTTTTGCCCTTCATGGGCAGAAGATACACACGTGGTGCACAATCATACATTCAGGCAAAATGCTCATACAGGGAAAATAACAAAAATTCGAGTTTCAGAGAGAAACTCTAAGTTTGGCCCAATATTTCTATTAAAATATGGTTTCTTTTAATTAGCAATGTGTGTTTCATGGGACAAACTTATACTTACATGTTATTATTGTTTTTCTACAATCCAAGCATGACTGAATATCTTCTATTTTATTCTGCAGTCTGGTGTGACCACCTGCAGAGACCAAGGCAGGTGTATTCCTCTAGCCAACCCCACCAGATGGTAGGGCCTCTGTACTAAGACAGGAAGGCACTACACTCCTTGTAGTGCCAGGAGAAGGTTTGCACAATTACCCTGAGGCCGAGGAGCCACATTCTGGGCCTCTAAAAACCAAAACCACAACAGCAACAACAAAAGAAATACAGAGAAGGACCCCACCTGTCACGTCTTCAAAAACGCTCAGATTTTGACAACCTGACAAATCAGACTCCTATTTTTTTCAGACTTGGAAAATTACACAATGGTGGTTTGATAAGAGCTCATAATTCATTGTGGGTTTGTTTGTTTGTTTATTTATTTATTTATTTATTTATTTATTTATTTATTTATTTATTTTACCAGAGGCGGCAAGGTGGTTCATCAAGTAAAGGTGCAAGATGACTTGAGTTTGAGCTTCTGGAACCCATCCGGTGTGTGTGTGGGGGAGGGAACCCAGTCCCCAGAAACTTCCTTTTGATCTGTACACATGCATCATTACAGATGGACAGATGAATAGACAAACATACACATTCATGCACTCACATCCAAATGAATTTTTAAAAGAACAACCTAAGAGCTGTCGGCAAAGCAGAGGTTAGGTGCTGGAACCAATATGTGTGAGTAGGGCGTGGGACAGAATCTGAGAGTAGAACAAGTGAAGCCTTCGCACAGGGCTGTCTGGGATGATCACCTGTGAGGGCCACCCAGCTGCTGGGTAGAAGCAGCACAATTCCCAAAGCATGATGCTCAAGTCATTTCATGAAAATTCTTTATGTTTTGTATATTAATATACATTTATATGTATGTGTTTATGTCTGTGTGAGTCTATGCCACAGGTATGGAAAAAATCCAGAAGAGGGCATCAGATTTACTGGAGCTGGAGATACAGGCAATTGTGAGCCATGTGATATGGGTGTTGGGAATTAACATGGGTCCTCTACAAGAACCACAATGGCTCTGAACTGTTGACCTATTTCCCAGATGCCTACTCTCATACTGACTGGCTCTTTCTCGACAGGTCAGTTACTCATCTACACTACCCAGCCTGAGTGACAAGATCCAGTTTCCATCTTTCCTTCGGACCCTGACTAGTGACCTCACATCTTCCCGTGCAGTTACCCAACTGATAATTCACTTCCAGTGGTCCTGGGTGATCATTCTGGCCAATGATGATGACTTTGGGCAGGAAGCCAGCTCTCTGGCCACTCAGGTGCTGGGTCCAGCTGGGGTTTGCATTGAGTCCCACCTCCACGTTCCTTCCCATCAGTCCTTGGAGAAGACTGAAGAGATTGTCCAGAGGATGCAGAAATGCACCGCCAAGGTTGTTCTGGTTTTCCTAAGCAATTCAAATTTCCAGCTCATCCTGTATGGCTTATTGGGTGTTCCTGTCTCAGGCCAGATTTGGGTCAGCAAGGGCACTCTGCACATGGCTCTTGCTCTGAGCATTCCAGGCGTTTCTCAGGTCTTGCAAGGCACATTTGGCCTTCTGTATCACAGCAGCAAGGCAATTGGCTTCCCTGAATTCCTTGCTCACCTGCACCCCAGCCAGACCCCAGAAGACATGTTTATAAAGAAGTTCTGGGAGTTCACCTTTGATTGTACATGGCCCCACCAAAACATCACAGTGACAGAGGGTGCTCAGCTCTGCTCAGGGAATGAGAGTCTGAAGAACAAGGAGCATCCTTTTCCAGAAGTGAGTAAAACTGATGCTGCGTACACAGCTGTCTACTGCATTGCCCATGCCCTGCAGGATATGATAGCCTGTGGGCACCAGGATGAGAAAGGTGCTGACTCTCCAGACCTCCAGCCCTGGCAGGTGAGAGAGACATGTGTGGAGTGGATGATTCAGTGGTGGCTGGGGAACAGGACATAGGTTTTTGTGAAGCTGTAGAGGTGTAGCAGGCTGTATGGTCCCTTACAGGGTATCTCATCCTTGCAACTGAGAGGCATCTTAGAAGCAGCATAGGACAAGTGGTCCATGCTGTGTGTGTGATCTCAGATGAGTCCAGTCGCTGTGGACATGCTTCCTTAACAAACACAAGGTGCCTAGTTAAATTAAAATATCAACTAATAGCAAGTTTTTGTGTCCCAAATTTGAGCTTTCATGAAAATTAGATTTTTTTTTAGTATGAGCATGCTGTAAATTAGAATTCCAAACAGCCACCAAATCACATTTATTTATTTATTTAATCATTCATTCACTTATTTATTGCTATGTGGGACCATGTATATAGGCATTCAGGCACATGTGGGTATGTGTGTGCATTCAGTGTACACACTTTTGGGAAGGTCTGAGGATGATGTGAGAAAGGACAATTCTTCTTTAAAAATTAATTAATTGATTGATTAATTCACTTTACATCCTAATCATAACCCACCGCTTACTCTCCTCCTGGTCCCACCCTCCCGTTCCTGCCTTCATCCCCCTTCCCTTACACCTTAAAAAAAGGGGAGTCCCTCTACCCACCCCAGCTCATGAAGTTACATCAGGAATGAGCTTGTCTTCATCCTCTGTGGCCTGGTGAGGCAACCCCACAAGGGGGTAGAGATTAAAAAGGCAGGCAACCGAATCCATGTCAGAGGCAGCCCCCACTTCCCTTACTAGGAGACCCATAAGAAACATGAGATGCCCACTGGCTACATTTGTGTATGGGTCCTAGGTCCTTGGTCGGTGCTTCAGTCTTCTCAAATCTCTCTGGATCCTGGTTAGTTGGCTCTGATGGTCTTCTTGTGGTGCTCCTGTCACCTTCAGGTCCTTCTATCCTTGTCCCCACCTTTACACAAGACTCCCTAAGCTTTGCCCAATGTTTGGCTGTGAAACTCAGCATCTGATTCTATCCATTGTTGGGTGGAGCCTCTCAGAGGACAGGTTTGCTAGGTTGCTGCCAGTGACCATAACAGAATATTGTTAGTAGTGTCAGGAGTAGGCTCTCTCTCCCCTGAGACCCTGGGGTGGGTCTCAGGTTGGGTCAGGCATTGGTTGGACATTCTCTAAATCTCTGCTCTATCTTTATGTCTGCATATCTTGTAGGCAGAGTAAATTTTTGGTTGAAGTTTTGTGGGTGGGTTGGTGTTTCCCTTCTTCCACTATGAATCCTTTCTAATGAGAGGATCTCCATGTTCCCTGCAAGTAGGAGCTTGAGGTCACCCCCATTTCTTCCCAGAAGCCTACCCTCTTTTAGGTCTCCAGCATGTTACAGAGATGCCCTCACCCACAGTTTCTCTTCTCTCTCTGGACCCTCTGTTCTACTATCCCTGCTCTGCCTAGGTCTCGTCTCCACCCCATTTCTGTCTGTGCTCCTTCTCCTACATTGTTCCCTTCCTTCAGCCACTTTTGCTGTCTATTCTATTTCTCCTTCTGAGTGGGATTTAAGCAGCCTCTCTTGGGTCCTCCTTGTTACTTTGGGTCTGTTATTGTAGTATGTTTATCCTGTAGTATATGGCGAAAATTCACTTATAGGTGAGTACATACCACGTGTGTCTTTCTGTGTCTGGGTCACCTCACTCAGGATGGTCTTTTCTAGTTCCATCCATTTGCCTGCAGATTTTACTTGTTTTCATTAGTTGAGTAGTTCCATTGTGTAAATGTACCACAATTTCTGTGTCCATTCTTCAGTTGAGGTTGTTTCCAGATTCTGGCTATTACAAATTAAGCTGCTATCAACATAGTTGAGCGATTTACCTTGTAGTATGGTAGAGCCCTTTGAGTATATGCCCAGGAGTAGCATATCCAGGTCTTGAGTTATAGATATTCCCAATTTTCTATGAAAGTGCCAGATTATTTTTCAAAGTGGTTGTACAGTTTGCACTCCCACCAGCAATGGGGGAGTGCTTTTCTTTCTCCACATCCTTGCCAGCATGTGCTGTCACTTGAGGTTTTGATCTTAGCCATTCTGATACATGGAAGATGGAATCTCAGAGTAATTATAATTTGGATTTCCTTGGTGATCAAAGGCGTTGAGCCCTTCTTTAATTGCTTTTTTGGCCATTTGGTATTCCTCTGTTGAGAATTCTCTGTCTAGGTCTGTACTCCATTTTTTAGTTGGATTATTTGGTTTGTTGGTGTTTAGTTTCTTGAGTTCTTTTAAATATATATTTTGGATATTAGCCCGTTGTCAGATGTAGGGGTGGTGTAAATCTGTTTCCAATCTGTAGGCTTTCATTTTGGTCTTTTGACAGTGTCCTTTGTCTTATAGATGCTATTCAGTTTCATGAAGTCCCATTTATTAATTGTTGATCGTAGAGTCTGAGATGTTGGTGTTCTGTTCAGGGAGTTGTCATGTGTGCCAATGAAGTCAAGGCTCTTCCCCCCTTTCTCTTTTAAAAGATTTAGTGTATCTGTTTTTATGTTGTGGTTTTTGTTCACTTGGATTTGTGTTTTGTGCAGGGTGATAAATATGGTCCTATTTGCATTTTTCTACATGTAGACATTCAGTCAGACTAGTACCATTTCTTAAAGGTGCTGTCTTTTTTTCCATTGTATAGTTTTGACTTCTTTGTCAAAATCAAGTGTTCATAGGTACGTGGGTTTGTTTGTAGGCCTTCAATTCAATTCCATTGATTCACCAGTCTGTTTTTATGCCAGTACCATGTAGATTTTATAACTGTTGCTCTATAGTTCAGCTTGAGATCAGGGATGGAGATACCTCCAGAAGTTCTTTTATTGTATAAGATTTTCTTTAAAAAGCTGTTATAGTTTTTTTGTTTGTTTTTCTATATCAAGTTTAGAATTGTTCTTTCAAGGTCTGTAAAGAATTGTGTTCATATTTTTATTGCAATTGCACTGAATCTGTAGATTGTTTTTGGTAAGAAGGCATTTTACTATGTTAATTATACTGATCCATGAGCATGAGACCTCTTTCCATCTTCTGATATCCTCTTCAATTTCTTTCTTCAGAGACTTGAAGTTCTTGTCATACAGGTCTTTTCCTTGCTTGGTTAGATTTACAGCAAGATACTTCATATTGTTTCTGTCTAGTGTGAAGGGTGTTGTTTAACTAATAACTTTTTCAGCCCCCCTTTTTTTTGTTTGTGTGCAGGAGGGATACTGATATTTTTGAATTAATTTTGTATCTAGCTTCTTTTCTAAAGATGTCTATCAGCTCTAAGGCGTTCTCTGGTCGAGTTATTCTGGTGACTATCTGCAGAAAGCAATATTTTGACTTCTTCCTTTCTGATCTGTATTTCCTTGATCTCCTTTAGTTATCTCATTTTCTGTCTAGGACTTCATGTAGTATATTGAAGAGATACCCTGAGAGTGGGCAGCCTAGTCTAGTCGCTGATTTGGGTGGGGTTGCTTTATGTTTCTCTCCGTATAATTTGATGTTGGCTATCATCTTGCTATATATTGCCTTTATTGTGTTTAGGTATGTCCCTTGTATCCCTGATCTTTCCAAGACTTTTACTTTGAATGGGTATTGAACTTTGACAAATGATGTGGCTAGTTTTGATAGCCAGTTTTTTCTTGGCATCTCCTGTCTGTACCTGCTGAGGTTGTAATACAGATGAGCTCTCATGTCCTTGACTATTTTTCTATTTTAAAATATTATTTGATAATTTCATATATATATAATTCAATATAATTCATTTTGTTCATTTTGCTCTCAGTTTCTTTCTTTGTTGCTTTGTTTCTCTCTCTCTCCCTCTCTTTCTCTCTTTGTTTTTCCACCATAAAAGTTCTCCAGTCTAGTCAGGGTAACCTAGGCCCACATCTGCACAATAACCCTTGGAAGACACATTGCTCATCGATGAGGTAAAGTGAGGGTGGCAGCTAAGGGGTGGGTATATTTTCATAATGTCCACTCAGATTATCTGAGTCTCTATTGTTTACCTGATGAAGATGCATTAAGTTTTGAATCAGAGAAACGGTGATAGTTGTTGGCTTTTTGGTAATGTATTCCAGATTAAAAATTATAGGAGGCTTGATGACCCATGCCTGTTCTCTTAGCACACAGGAGGGCGAGGCCATAGACTCAGAAGTTCAAGGCCAACTTGTGCTACAAAGTAAGATTCTGTGCCAAACTAAATATATATGAGGGTGGTGATGTCTGCATGTGGTTTATGATGAAGATACAAATTAGATGAAAGAGTGAGGAGTGTGCAAAGGGAAATGAAAGGCCAGAGATGTTCTCTCCTTCTGGAATTATCTGATTTCCTGAGAAGAGGATAAGAAGTCTCACAATGGGAAGAAGTCATAGCATTGCAGATGGCAGGGACAGCATTTATGAACACCCTGAATGAAGACAAAGAAGAGCAACGTTCATTTGAGGGAAGAAGTGTGACAGAATGATCTGAGTGATGAGGAAGCCAAGGTAGGCTGGAGCCAGTCTGCGGAAGACTTGCTAGGGTTTGGAGTTTAAAGAGTATGATGGGACAGTACTGCACAGCCGAATGAAACCCCAGAGCTATCACCACATTGTGATATTTTTGAGTTTAAGGCTGGTGAGATGTTAATGGCCATTTTCCCCAAGCCATAGTCTCACCTGAGTGTCGTCTAGCAGCAGCAGGAAAGAACAGTCCTGAGAGTTGTTCTCTGAATTCTGCAATGTGAGTGAGTTGCACACACAAACACACACACACATGCACACACACACACACACGCAAACATGAGCGTGAGTGCTCGCACTGGCATACAGTGTATTAGGTTAAAACTTATCTGTATTAATTATTGAGTCATTACTTTATTATTTATTACTTTATTTATTATGATTTATTACTTTATCACAGCTAGAATATATTTTTGAGTCTCTGACAACATCACAGTTCCTTGAGCATCCTTATGCCTAATGAAGCCAGTTTTTGAATGAAGTGGCTCTGCACCATTGCAGAGGCCATTTAGGTAAGACCCAAGACAGTCCTTGCCAGTCTCCAATGTCTTTCTTTCTTCCTCAGCTGCTTCATGCCCTCAGAAAGGTGCACTTCAAGGCTCCTGATGGAAGTGAGGTTTTGTTTGACGTCAATGGAGATTTGGTGACAAAATTTGACATTTTCCAAGGGCGGAAGACTCCTGAGGGTGTATTTCACTTGGTCCACATAGGCATGATAGACCCTCAAGCCTCTTCAAGTAACAAAATGATGGTCCATTTGAAGGAGCATCTCCAAGTGAGTTGCCTTAATTTGGTGATGACTCGTCCTAGAGTGTTAAAGTCTCAAGGTAAATCCAAGTCTTGGGTTCCTGATCCCTACTTGTGCATGAAGGGGATGCAGCTCTGGATTGGGCCAGTCAGTTATAACTGACTATGCTCTTCATCTCATAAGAGATCTTTCTCTGAATGATACTGACTGACCAGAGCTGATGTTGGAGAGGTGGCTCAGTGGTGAAAGTGTTTGCTATGCAAGCACAAGGACCAGACTTTTGACCTCCAGAATACTTACACAATCTGAGTGGGCAGTTTGGCCCGCTTGTAATTTCATTCTAAGAAGGTAAAGACAAGGAGATGCCACAGCAAGCCAGCTAGGAAGACTAGCCATATCAGTGAACTCTACGTTGTGCTTGGAGCACATGCTTCAATGTGCATAGTGGAAAAGCCACGGAGGATGCTTCTTATTATTAATCTTGAGTCTCCATAGGCATTTGTACATACATGCTCATGATCCCACATAGATGTAAAGAGACACAAACACGTATGTATACTGCACACTGTTTGAAAAATTGGAAAAAGAACATACCATTTTATGTCAGGTTCACGGGACCCTCAGAGACCACCAGGAGATGACTCAATGAAATTGCAAGAGAGCTTTTATTACGAGAGCGATTGAACTCAGGGCCCAAATCTCACTGGTGCAGGAGTAGAGAAGTGGGACTCCAAGCTCTGAGTGAACAGGAATTTTAAAGGGAAAGTCTGTGATCAGGGGGTTTCCATGGCAGCATGCAGGTGTTACAGAATTGGGTGAAGTTTAGCAGGGCAGGGTGACCTTTTCTGAGGCACACAATCACAATGGCTAAGGCATATAATCACAATGGCTATTTTCCTAAACCATATCTGAAACATTGGGGAGAATTTTCCCACCTGATTCTCAACCGATTCCCATTGATTATTGCCAGGCAGTTTGTCTCTATTTTCTATGAAGCATTTATTCTGTTATATTTCCTGGAGGCTGTTGCTAGGAGAATTAACTTTGTTTTCTGCCAGGTGCACATTCTGTGATATTTCCTGGTACCTGAATTCAGTTCCCAGCCACAATCTTTATTTCAAAATGGAGTTATATTCTGGCTAACTTAAACTCTTCAACCAGACTCATAGAATAGAGTCAGAATCTGTGTCCGGTGATGTTCTGAGGGTGTTTTAATCATCTGTGTTGAGGACCTGCTCTTTGAAGAGGAAGATAGTGACACACTAAGCCAAACACCTTCCCATGGACCATCTTGGAAGTGGACCCAGCAGACACC